AACTTTCCTTTTTGATAAATCTTATAGTTAGGGCTGGTGCTGGTGTAGACCAGCTCTTAGTTATGTTGCTATAGGCTTAGACTACCGGGGAAACTGGCACCTTGAGCTCCTCTCTCTCTCTCTCTCTCTCTCTATCTCTCTGTGCACATACAGTACATCATATTACTGCATGTATCTATCTGTAAATCTCAGTCTCTAACCACCTACTTTCCTGAGAGCTCTTGAGCTCTCTTAGGCTCCTCAAGATCGTTGGTTGAGGGCCTGTCAGAACAAGCCCCCCCCACCCCCTCCCTACCGGATCGTTGGTTGACGGCCTGCCAGAACATAGAATTTTCTTATTTAAATATGGGGACATGATGGGAGTTTGGCACAGCCAATCATACAACAGCTTTGTGGCTTAAAACCAGACAAGAACAATTACATTCTTAGAGAAGCGAGTGAAATCCTGGAGAATGACAGTCAATAAAACTAACAGTATTTATGTTTTATAAAAACAAAAATCTAGTCAGAACTTACTGGTGCTGGGGTACTTGGCTCCACTGGATCGGGTACGGGTCAATGGTTGCTTCCCCGGGGCACCGCCTTTCCCAGCTGCCTGGCGAGAGTCACCCACAGAAGTCTTTCTGGTGGTGACAGCAGACTCAGAGTTACGACTGGAGAAACCCGAGCGGCCCGTGGAGGAGGTCTCGTTGTCACTGGGGGTTGTGAAGGAACCGGTTCGCTTCCTGGGCATTGCTAAGATGTCCAGCCGGGACAGCTTCTTTCCCTCAGCAGATACTTTGGTGGGAGCAGGGATGTGATCAGAATTCTGGGAAGCCCGGTCAGTCTCTGCACCTTCGTTATCTGAGGCATCCCCCAGGCGGGCTCGGCGAAGCATGGATGCCCGGGTCGGTCTTGGTGCTGACAAGCTGTTGGATCGTGTCAGAACCTGCTGAGATGCAGTCTTTGCCGTCTTTCCGTTGTCTTCTTTCTGAAGAGGAGCGATCACTTTCTTGCTACGGCTGGATGGGCGAGAAACTTCATGGTCTGAGGATGTTGTTTCTGTCCACTTTTGACCAGAACCCTGCTGGCCCTCTGACAGATCCAGAGATCCCCGGTTGCCAGCACTGCGGCGCATTTGAAAGCGTTTTGCTGCTTCTGCCTTATTTGATGCATCTGATGTCACCTGGCTTCTGCGTTTCTCTGAAAGCCGTTCTCGTGCCGTGAGTTGCCGTCCCTTCTCTTGGATGGATGGGCTGGAAGAGGACTTCTCCTTTTGGAGGCTGCTAATGGCAGGACGCTTTTTAGAAGCAGAACTAACGGGAACATTTTTGCTGCTCACCTGGCTCACAGTGCTGGCAGTGTCCACATCTGACTCACCAGACAGGGAGTCTTCCATGTGGGTGGAGGAGCCTCCTTTCTTTGAGCTACGACCGGATCCAGATGAGGGGAACTTTGCGTCCAGAGAGGACAGAGTTCCTTCTGCTTCCTGATAGAAGGACTCTGAATCCTGGAGGTTCTCCCTCCTCTGCTCCAGGTCTCTGATGGACGGATGGCTGGAGATGTGAGGAGTTTTTCATCTGGGTGGTGTCACATGGCTGCTCTTTGGTGAAGCTCTCCTGGCGGACGATAGATGACACACAGCTGTCTTTGGTGGGAGCATAATCCTTGTCTTGTATTTGGAGGTTGGGAGCTGAGCTGTTAGGTTTGACTCCTGTCCTCTTTGGTTCGTGCCCACTCAGGTGTCGGATCAGGACAGTAGTTGGGGGAGTTTTTGCTGGGGGTTCTCGTATCCTATCAGACTGTACTGGACTTCGAGTTTGGTCAGGTTTGCTTGGACGGTCTTCAGACCCGATGTAGAAGGAGGTGGATTTGGTGGAGGGAGACACTTTATCTGCACCCCTAACCTGATTACCGGTGCCCCCTGGAGAAACAGATCCAGTTCTGACCTGGTTTTTCTTTGTTTTGTCCAGAACAGGTCCATCATCTGATCGGCTAGCATCACTCAGGCTGTCTGGGTCCACATCATCCTGGACAGACAAGCACTGGTAGGAGTTCTGGTGGTGAGGAGCACCGGAGGGTTGGTCCAGAGCTTCCTGTCCGTGGTAAGGTTCATGACGAATCAGGATACTCGGAGGAACACTGTCCAGCTTCTCCGGAGGCACCTGGGGCAACATCCTTCTGGTCCTCGAGCTGTGGCTGGACTCGGACTCTGAGTTATCGTAGCTGAAATTTCCCATCGACCGGCTCATCAGGCGCAAATCTATTAAAATAAAGTCATGGTTAATCAGTAAAAGTGTTATAGTTCATTGGTAATATTTTCAGGATAAAGGTGTTGAAGGGCAAATGGGCTCTGAGCTTTTCACGCTTCCTACACCAATTATAAAGGACGTCTTAAAGTGTTGGGGTATTTTCAGATTTTCAGACCAAAGGTTTGCAACAGGAGGAAACCTTTTAAAGTTTTATGTAGGGGATTTTTTTATTCCTTTATTTCTACACAACAAAGTCAGAACCCTGGCCGCCCACATTGAGGACTACAGCCTCTGTAATTCAGGCGCACAATCTAACTGCCATCAAACTATTTCAGAACATTTAGAAAAGAAAATCTATGGGAAGTTGTCCTTCTGTGATTGATCAGGTCAGCTTATGGCATCATCTTAGTGGCTGCCCTGACACCAGGCCATTTAGCACTATTAAATCATTTATTCACAGAAAGACTTTGAAGAGCACCTTCCAGACTTTCCCCTTGAGGTGGAGTGGAACCAGGTTCAGCATAGCCGTCTGCTAAGCTGGCCCAGCGGGAAACCCATTTGGGTCCTTCCAGACCTGCTGCATTGGAAGGTGGAACCTAGACAACACAGAGAATATTATTGGATTGATAGAAGTGCGAGACAAAAGAGAACAATGAGACTTGACAGAAAAAGTGAGGTAAACTGAGGGAACAACACAAATCTGCATGCACTGGGATCAGAACATGCTACACAGGTCCAGTTCTTCAGTGGATTTACCTGCATGGGGCCTGATGGGGGGCTGCTGATAGCAGCTGGGTTAAAGCCATGCAACAGGTCCACAGTGCTACCATTGCTAGGCAGGTTAGCTTGCTCATCCTTTGCTTCGTTTATTACAGGTCTATACACTCCTGTGCTCACACCACTGTACTCTGGAGAGTCGAGGACACCAAACACCTGTCAGAGCACAGAGCATGCATGAGGAGGGGAGCCGGACCACAGCAAGAGGAAGGAGCAACAAGGACAAGAGGTCACATGCATGCCTGAAGAGATACATAAAGAGACTCTTTATTTTAAGACGTCTCATCTGAAGAAAGTTCCAGTTCTCTTGAAGGTTATGGACTGATCAGGAAGAGACAAAGATTGGCCAACCCTTTAAAATACAATGACTCAAACCTTTTTCTCCACAACAGACACAATAGCAGCTTCGTCTGTAGGACCATCATATGAGGAATACTGCATTTCTGCATCTGTAGCCTCTCTCAATGCACAGTTACTTATGTGATTGTTTAGCAGGAGGGCTGTTTAACTAGAGTGGTTGCTACTTTGGTTATTTAACAATGACTCCAGTAGTTCTTTCTAAGGTAAAATATCTTTCTACACACTACTGTGGTCATTTAGAATCAGTCTAAGCTATGACTCCTCCTCTCTCAAACATGAGTCTGTGAGTGGTTGTTGGCTGAAAACTCTGGCGGTCTAACTTTGAGTTCACCTGATCGATCATGTTACGAGCCTCTCCACCTCTTGGTCCTGGGACTCGGTCTCGATGGTGTAGGTCCGGCGTCGCTCAGGCTGTCGTCTCTCTCTCGTTTCTCATCATCCTCGGGGAACCTCTGAGGTCTCCTGCACGGACGCCCAGGGGCACCATGGGGGACATTGGGGTCCAGATGAGTGGACTGGAGAGGCGGTCTGGCCCACAGCACTGCTGCAGGGAACTGAGGACTTTGAGGTTGCCGGAGGAGGCAGTAAAGGGGAGGTTGGGTAGGACACTGAGGATGCTACAGGAGGTTCCTGCGGGGAGGGAATTCTTGCATGAGCAGGCGACACCATCACTGGGGGCAGACATCGGGGTGGGGACATCTTGTCCCTCGTTAAGGAGGAGTCTTGCTGACCAGAATCCTTCAGAAATTCAGCAGCGAACTCCTGAGCCAGCTTGGA